ACATTTATTCAGTTTAATATACAGTATATATAGGCCTATATATATATCATATATACATATATATATATATATATATATATAAAATGTATATACAAGACCAAAAATGTGAAATTGTCCCATTAATATGGAGTTTTTTGGCATGTTTTCTTACAATGATGATATAGATTCATTATAAGTTTATTCTAATTGGCTAAAAATGAGTTACCATTGAATTATAACTAATTTAACTAATGTATTAACAGATGTTCCTGATATTGTTTCATGATTGATGTTGAGTGCAATGTTGATGATGAAATTTTCTTTTTTAAGTATTGAGCGTTTTATTGGATGCACAAGATAGAATACCATGTTCGTTATAGATTAGAGTCCTATTTGAAAATACATCAATTAACATGAAATCCCTATTTTAAATGGTAAAAATTGACAAGATTGTATTTATAAGAGTAAGTAAGAAGTTTTTGAAAAATGGGTCCAGATTTCTCATATTTAGCCTAAAATGGGTAACATTTTGAGAAAATGGGTCCAGGTTTTCATATTTTTTTGCGTAAAATTGGTCAACTTTTAAGAAATTATTTGAATTTATGCGTAAAGTGGGTCCACCTGATTATTGTCCCGCCCTGTTTTAAAAATCCTGGCTACGGCATTGTTTGTACAGATAAACAATGATAAGAGAGAACGATGAATATATACACCTCACACATAGATTCTAGGTGATGTGGAGACCTTCGGCCCTCGGGAAGATACGATCTCCACATCACCTCGGGGCAATAGATTTCACCATTCCCCTATGAGCAGTCAATATTTTTTATAATATATATAGTTGGGTTATATTATTATAAATGGCTTATAATAGTATTTATGTAGTCTAATATATATACAAATATTATTATTATTATTATTATTATTAATATTATTATTATTATTATTATTATTATTATTATTATTATTATTATTAATGTTAATGACAATTTAAAGTATTAGGATAAAGAAAATATATTGTTTAATAATTGTGTTTGTAAATACACTTGGTAGGATATGCACCACAAACCGTATGCATAAAAAAATGCAAATTATGCAACAGCCAGTGAAGCAGAAACCTTCAACAATGAAGGCTGCTCCCAAAAGGAGGAAGAAGACAATGAAAACACTGTCTTGTTAAAAATTATATGAATCAAGGGAAAGGTATGAATTAATACAGTATAAATTACAGTACATCCAATGTAATAGAATTAGCTTAATATAAGAAAAAGAAAACAAGTAACAGAAAATTGTTAGCCCTGAATTACAGTACATGCAATATAATATAATTAGGTTCATATAAGAAAAACATAACCAATAACAGAAAATTGTTAGCCCTGAATTACAGCACTTCCAATATTATATAATTAGGTAGATAAGAAAAACAGATAAAATTGTTAGCCCTGCTTCGTTTTGCTATACAAATACAATCATTAACCATTGTTATTAATATCGCTAATATTGTACGAAAAAATATCTTACTTCTGGCTTTGGTGCACTCTGTATTAAAGCAGCATTGAAAAATTAAAAAGACATTGTTGATCATTAAGCAAAATCAACAGCTGTATTCTGGCAATAAAGGGGAGAGAAAGCTAGAAGTATGTAATACATAGACGAAATGAGGAGAGAGAGAAAGAGAGAGAGACACTGATCTCTACTATAATAGTAGAGATCAGTGGAGAGAGCTAGACAAGATGCACAGATATGAACTAAAGGAAAGTTATGTAAATAGATAATAGAGAGGGGTGGGGAGGGATAATTCTAGTCGGACGTGTTACAGAAATAGACTTGAGGAAGAAGAATTATTGCTATATTAGAAAAAGATTATGAACTGGATAACAAAGGAGAGGTGATGCAGAGAAACAATCTAGAGCATGGGTCGGCATAAAAATCGGTCGAAGGGCCAAAGTGAATTTTTGACTTAACACTGAGGGCCGCATCCAAACCTTGATGTTTCCAGTGTGCTTCCAAAAACCTACAAGAACTGATTTTACACCTATTTATTCTCAGTTTTAATTTTATATTTTTAACATAAGATCGGTGTCAGGCCGTAAAAAACAAGGTGTTTCATAGCCAATGCTACTTGGCGGGCCGCACACAAAAGGTTTTTAATTCATTTTCGCGGGCCGCAAAAAAATCGCTGGCGGGCCGCACTTTGCCCACCTGGGAGGGATGTGATGCAAAGCGATTAAGAGAAGAGAAAGAGTTAAAGGGACATGATAAGAAGAGACGAAGAAAAGGATGTAGAGCTACATAAACGAAAAGCATGTAAGATAAGATTAGATTTATTAGTTCAATCCTTTAAAACAAACACTCTCAACAAGAGGTTCGACTCATACAAAACTTTAACTCATCATCAACTGGAAATATTGTACTTAAGGAAGAATGGGAGAGCAAGAGGAACAGTGGCTTAATGCAGAAAGATGAATTAGATGATGAAAAGCTAAGATGAACGTGATGCAGAAATATTCAAGAGGATGGGATGTGAAGAGTGATGCAGAGAAACAATGAAGAGTGTAAAGAGCAAGAAAAGTGGTGTAGGAAGACCATGCAGAGAGAGAGAAGAGGAAGATGACGAACAGGGGTGGCGCCAGGATTTGCCCGACGGGGGGGGGGCGAAATTCCCGACGGGGGACCGATTCCCCCGAAGTGGGGTCAGATTTCCCAGACGAAAGGAAAGTGGGCGTGGTCGGGCTTCGATTAAAAGGTTAGGAAAGTGGTGCAGGGGGAAAAGCCCCGAAATTTTTGACAATTTAGGGGTTTCAAAGGCTTATTTAATCGATTTTTGAGTCTACTAATATGTAGAAAATACATATAATTTTTTTTTCTCCCCGACGAATTGTGTTTTTTCTTCCCGACGGGCTCCCCCCGGCCCCCTGCTGGCGCCACCCCTGATGACGAAGAACTAAAGGAACGTGATGCGGAAAGACGATATGAAGACCAGATGCGGACAGACAAGGAATATGATGAAAAGCTAAGAGAAAGTGATTAATAATCAATAATGACAATAACAGCGAAAATAGATAGAAATGATAATACTATTAATTTTACATTGCCGGACTTACAGTTTTTGTTGACTTCGCCTACAATGACATCGTGAAAAAAAAAGAGAATGCAGTAAATTAATATTATGGATAATACATATCCATGCATAATATTGAAATAAAACGCAATAGAAAATACATGTGGTAGTAACAACATGATTTGCGGTTTGTCAAACAACATTCCCTTTGCCTTCAAGGTGGCAGAAATCTTTAAATTGGCCTCTGTCAAGTGTCATGGGGAGAAAAAGGTAAAAAAACCCCCATTCAACGATCTTGAATTATAATGATACTATAAAATTATTTAGCGTAGACATTGTGATAGTATGTTGATCAATTCCTTCACGGTTGATTTGAGAGCGTGGGTGAGAGCGTTAGAGAAATACTTTATACTGCATTATGAGATTAGAACGCATAATGTAGCAAAACGAATGTCACGAATTAAAAGCTAAAGCTGTATAGCAAAACTGTTTGCTTTGTCACCCACTAACATTGGTCTAATGCCGTAAATCCCAATATTTCTTTTTCTCACAACTACTCCATTCGCTATAGGCCTGATTATGAACTGATTAGAACTACTACGGCGACGACGTCAAAAATGAAACTGATTATAATGATGATGTTGCTGATCGTTATGATCATATCAAGAATAATAATAATTTTAATAATTATAAAGATAAGGGTACTGTTACTTGGTAACGATAATAACGATGACGACGACGACAACGACGATGATGATGTGATGACGATGTGATAATGATGACGAACAAAAAGATAATGATAATTATGATAACGATAACGAAAATTCCACTGATTAATCTCAGATAAGATAGTATAATACATACTCCAAGTATCGAAATGCACGCCATCGTGTCAGGATTCAATATTTCGACATTAATTATGTCATCAGGAATAACGAAAATTACAATGGTAATGAAGATGACGATCATGGTGATAATGATAATGATAATAACAACAATAAGAAAATAACAATAATGGCACTACAACAAAAAAGCTATAAATCATAATAGCAAAAATAAATAAATAAATTAATAATAATAATAATAATAATATAATTGTAGATAAACTTACCGTGGATGACATCTGAGAAGATAAAAATATAAATAGAAAACAGTTAGAGACATGGATATGAATTATATTTTACATAAAGTATCATCTGACGATGAGATTTAAAGAGAGTTCTGCATAAAACTATCAAAGCTGCAAGAAATTTAATCATTAAAGAAAAAAATATATAATATAGGCCTATGTTATATTTTTTCTTTAATGAATATGCATAATATATATGTTAATATGTATGTAGGACTATATATATAAATTAATTGCATTTGAATTCACAACGGAACCCAAGTGGCCCAGTCGTTTTAAAGTGTCTGCAGACAACTCTAACGTTCAAATTTTGATGTATTATTTTAGCATTACCATAAGACGGCTTGAGTTTATCTCTCTATTGCATACTATATAACGGTGTCCGCTTCTACGTTTACCAAAATGATAGCAAAAATAGCGATAAACGCCGCAAGCATGATGATGTTGTTAACCTTCATCATTGTCTTCTGTTAGGAACGATGCTAATTATCGACGATGTAGAAATACTGAGAAAAAGAGAATTACACAGCGTTATAAAAATCGTTTATAAAGAACTGGCTGCAAGTTAACATAGGCTTTATTAATGAGAACGATACATTTGATACGAGTTGAGGCGTTTCGAAAATAAAAAAATTCCCTCAGAAAGTGAGACGTAATTATAAAACGCGTAGGCGATATGTGCGATATGAATATTAAAAAAAAATACTATTAGACTTCCTGTTTGTATTTGATGCCATTACACTGATTAATGCAAATCACCGTCGACATAGAATCAATGACAAACTTATAATACAACAGTGTTCGCGTTTAAGCTATTTTAAAGTGCTAAATTTATGCTTATTTACTCAATATTATATCCCTACCTAACTGTAGTCTTCTTTTGTCAAAGTAGTGACAACATAATTTAATTATAATCTTTTAGAACGCCTTCTTATATGTTATAACACTTCTTAAATAGATTGACGAAAATTAATTATATTTTTTTTAAAGCAAAAACAATGTGGATGCGAAATATACGAATATCACATACTATAGTATGTTTGATCACACGTAATCATATTTAGAAGGAGAGCAAATGAACTGCCTAGCTTAGCTTTTTTATATTCTAAGCAATCAAGGGTCAACACCTGGTATAGGTGTAGGAGCGATTGGCGCACCGGTTGTGGCTTGGACTCCCAACCTTGAGGTCGGGGGTTCGAAACTCTGGCTGTACAAATCACTTGTGTCCTTGGGCAAGGCACTTTATCTACGGTTGCCGCTCTCCACCCATCCAGGAGTACAAGTGGGTACCTGGTAGGTTCCAACACAACCTGCGCTGATTACTAACTGCAATTTATGGAATGATAATATAATTTCATTTACTAATTTAATTTAGTGTTTCAATGTGTACCGTATGTGTTTGATCCAATGACTGGGGTAGTAATGTGAAGCGCTTAGAGGCCTTGTAAAGGCCGCTATATAAGAACGACATATTATTATTTATTATTATTATATTGAAACTCTATTTAGATGGTGACACTATATTCCAGCTTGGCTACCTTACCGACCCAAACTTATATTTAAATGATGTATTCGATTGATATGGGCCCTTAATGAAGTTTCAATCAAACTTGTCAAATGATTATTATTCTCCGTAAAAATCCAGTGATCCCACAAATTAACTTAGCGGGTCGCGACCTATAGTTTGAATACCACTGTTGTAAAGTTCCAACTTAATTTTAAGTCAAGCTAGTGATTAAGGCCTATTGTATAGAAATTTTACCATGTGATTTTGAAAGAAATTATTCAGCAGTTGCATTGTGTTAGTCAGCCATGGCATATTAATATATGAAAACCTGGTTTTTATCATATTAAACCCAAGTCAAATCCGTGTCACCAAAATACGGGGCGGCAGTACCTTATAACCTTAAATAATAATAATAATAATTTTTTTAAATAGGCCTAACTATATCTTGCATCTTGCATTATGCTTAACAAAATAATTAATAAACTCCATTAACTCGTTACGATTTATAATTTTTTACATAAATAATGATTAATACGATGATATTGCAAGTATTTACAATTTATTTTCCCGATTATGAAGGAGATTTTAATATTCAATATCCCTTGTCTGATCTTAACGCCACTGCATGCCAAAGTTCATCATTTACTCAAAGGCTCAATATTTCACATTGTAGGCCTTGGTTCCTTAAAATCTACGCAAATAAATTAAGCTCATCGCCTACTTACTAAAAGAAGATGAACAGTTAAAACGTACGTAGAGGTAATTACATCACGATTATAATAAAGTCACGCGCCACAGTATCTGTTGAAAGATTTTTTGAAATGATTATTGAAAATAAGCGGACGATACTTACCGATGCGTTCACTTAGGATGGCGGCAAGGAACTGACTTACAAGCAGATGGGAGGTAATAAAATGCACATACAGTTTCGTCACGAATATATGAATATTAATGAGAATGTGCAAGAGCATGTTTTTCGAAAAGTAACGACTCTTGAGCAATGGAATGCAAGGTACCGGTACAAATTACAGTTGAACTTTTCAGTTATGCACTGGCAGCCTACCTGCTAATATTCGCCGAAGTGTCTCCTTCAATATCTTTTTTTTTTGTATTTGTATTTTTTTATCCACAAATGCTATACAAGTTTTAAAACATTTATATTATACGTTATCTTTCCTATAGTTACAGAAATCATACCTAACTGTAATATCATCTTGATAGTATCCCCGCGAAAAGTTTATAGCAATCATTCCTATGAATAAGGCCGAGAGTAATGATTTATAGGGCGCAGGTTACAATATGGAATAGAATCTTATATGAAATATAGGCCTAGGCGCCTACATTAGGCATTATACAGAAGCCCATTTTAGGGATCATAGAACAAAAAAAATCTGATTTGATATTTAAGGTTATTTGCTCAAAGGGTGTCAAAATATACGGTAATTTAGTCTATTTGTAGTTATGATACAATAATAAAAAATATAAGTATTCCTTTAATAGATGTTGAATGTGTTGATTTTATCACTTGTCACACTCAAAAATATGCATAAAGCCTCTAAGCGCTCGTAACAGTAACATACATAGAGTGTTCCGATGGTGTTTCTGTCAGGAGATAAGGCCTAAACTATTAAGACACCAGGCTAGTTATCTGGATGTCGATGGTTCGATTCCCACACAAATCACTTGCGAGATTTGAGAATTCTTTTGTATTTGGGAACGTACTGAGCAATCATTCCTATGAATAAGGCCGAGAGTAATGATTTATAGGGCGCAGGTTACAATATGGAATAGAATCTTATATGAAATATAGGCCTAGGCGCCTACATTAGGCATTATACAGAAGCCCATTTTAAGGATCATAGAACAAAAAAATCTGATTTGATATTTAAGGTTATTTGCTCAAAGGGTGTCAAAATATACGGTAATTTAGTCTATTTGTAGTTATGATACAATAATTAAAAATATAAGTATTCCTTTAATAGATGTTGAATGTGTTGATTTGATCACTTGTCACACTCAAAAATGTCCTCGTTCCCTTAATTATAGAGGTGCCCCCTTAATAGGGGTTGGCCATAGTGGTAAACTATATATTTCCCTCTTTCAAGAGAAAAGTATCCCTTTAAAACTAGGGTGTTCCAAAGGAGAAATTCTAATATCGTTCTACATTCGCATTATTGAAGGTAACTTATAGGCTTGCAGTAGGTTTAAAGGCATTCAAAATACAGTATGTAATTGTCTCTCAGGGAAAAGTGCTTGCGGTAATTATTTTTTTGATTTAAAGAAATGGTTTACCAAATTCCCCAAACTGCAGGTTGTCCATAATTTTTGTTTAATCATATTTTATAGAGGCTACCAACGTATCCTAGAAGCTGATATTCAGGGGCCCCCTTGAATAAATTAAATAATGTGATGCTTTATTGAGTCTCATTACGAGGCTTAGGGAGTGAAGACGTTTTTCCTCGTGAGAAAAAAATCCCATGCTGTTACAGGATTTGGACCCAAGACCATGGGATTTGGTGACGGGCCCAGTGCAAGATAATTGCCGGGCCATAAAACGCACCTGATCGGACCCAGAGCATTGGTAAGTTGGTGGGGTCTACTTAGGCGAAACTCTTAGTGCTCATACATTCTGAAATTTTCTAAAACAGATACGGCATTGTAAAGAGCATAACTATTTATAAACTATGCGAAAACATGTTCAAGGATATTAAGAACAATATATAGTTAAAAAGTCATACTGTATTGTATCGTTTAGGGCCTATTGCAATCTTCATGAGTATCTAATAAAGTAAAATATCGATAACAATAGAACAATCAATGACCCGGACTGCAGTGAAGTAAAACGTAGTCCTATTCATAAAGTATGCACAATACTTGAAAGAACTTTAAAATATCAAACAAAACGTGCTTTAGAAATATGCTTTCAAAAATGATTTTAGTGAATCCTACCGTGGTACGAAGCACACGTAAATACATAATGGAAGAAAATAACCTTGATTTTGTTTAACAGATACGAAACTGTTCATGGATTGACTCAAAACCTAATGTAAATTTAAGAAGGAATTTTTTGAAGTTATGTACTTGTCGATATATATGCCTATATTGAAAAATAGCCCCGGACCCCAGTGCTTTGCACTGGCTGCACTGCCCGTACCCACGCCACATGGCGACTTATTACAGGTTACCTAATAGTTTCAGGCCTAACGAGATTTACACACTTAATCATCCATACGCTACGCAGTTCAAACCTATATGGCCAAGTTGAATCACTTTTGTAAGTTAATAGAAAACCTCGAGAACAGGCTGTTATTCTATAGTACTGTATGAAGATTGATGTCTGTTCTAATAATACGTGTACTTCAGACAATGCAGGGCTACGAATTAAATATGGCATGATATTTAAACAAAACTGTAGAAACTACATTTTACTTTCCTACACAGGGTGATGAGGGGAGGTGGGGGAGGGGAAATTTAGGTCAAGGTCGAATTACATAAACGTCGTTTTAGTACCAAGGCCTAAAAAAAAATACCAGCAAATAGGACTATAGCTAAGTCAATGAAACATTCATAATATAAACAAAACTCATATATTTATCTTTCGTTATGACAACTGCATACTTGTTTACAATAGTACCGTTTCGAGGAGCCTTACCATGTGTTTCAATTTCGGTGTTCACCAAACTTCCCAAGAGTATAACATCACTGGACAAAAACGACTTTTGGGTCGAATTAAACACCGAAAACGTAATATATTAAATTAAACCTTCTTTTAATTACTGTAAATCTGATGATGTCAGAGACGGATCCGCGTTGCGCGGAGATCGGGGGCTAGCCCCCACTAAAAAAAAAAGAGAAGGAAGGAAGGAAAGGAAGAATGTACGTGCTAAAAAACAAGCTAACAAATTCGAATTCCTCGATCCGCTAATGAAATTTGTCCTTCGGTTATAATTTTTATATATTTTGCTGTATTTCTTAAAGAGTTGCTTTTTAAATTTTGTTTATGATAGTTTTTATATATTTTTTAAAATGAATTCTCTGTACAGCAACTAAATTTTAATGCATTTGATAACTGAATATCTTAAAATTTAAATTGTTTAAAAATATTTGTATGGTAACTTATTACGGTATATAAATTTTATGTACACGGGATAATTTGCATTTTATTTTATTCAATGGCTGCTGGAGAGCCACATATAAAGTGATTAATTTCGCAGATTGGCAGTCCTGTCCACCTCCTAAAAGTATTTTAAATCGTCTGTGTTTTTGAATATTGTATTTTATATCAATGACGAAATAACCACGCGTTTCTTAACAAAAAAAAAAGACCTAACCAAACGTTTAACAAATATTTATTTTTTTACAGAAAATCACTCCGATACCGGTAGGCCTACTATATACTGCAAACGCGGAACATCATAATAATCTACATTCTGATTTCATAATACACCTAAACTCGTAGCAGTTTTTAAATAAACATTTACAAAATTAGTATTTTAAAGTTATTTTCAATTAAATAAAGATATAGGCCTACTCACATAAAAAAAAATCAAGAAACCCTAACAAATTAATATAAAATTCTAAATTGCTCAATAATTAAGGGAAAACAGATATGGTCTAAATCTAGCTTTAAATGATGGAAAAACGTGTTCAATGGTTCAAAGATATTAAACTAAGGTACCAGTATAAAAAATGAAAATGCTTAAATTTACTTGCAAACATTTAAGGGTACACAGACTATTACCGGTATTGCTGAACCACGTATCGACGAGTGATGGGAGCCGGGGGCGAGAAAGTTAGGGCCTCATATTATGCCAGTGTCGCCTTTTAAGTACCTGAGAAGTGGGTTTGAGAGGGGAATCTTACCAAACATAACTATTTTTTTCTGAATATTCAGGAAAAAGACTGCATTATACACCATTATTAAATTATTTATTGTTATTCAAAAATGATATAAACTTACGCATCGATGTCTTGCGTGCATGATCGTAGCATAGGCCTATACCTCGTGATCGTCTTCTTAGTTTAACAGGTGGAAAACATAACCATTTTGCTCTAATTTAGGCAAGACCTTTATTAGATCAAGTGTTAACATATTCGAGTACGTTTTTTTTTAAAAACTATTTCATTTTCTTTGTCGCTTTTGTTTATTTTTTTTGTTTATAACATGTAATTTAATTCAGTTGTATCCTATGCTTTTTTGCTTGTGTGTTTATGTCAATTGCCGAATAAATGATTATAAACATACGGTCCAAAAAGATTACATGGTAGACGGATCGCTGTGGATACATAAATGTTTTTGTTGTTTTTTAAAATTAATTTTATTTTCTTTGTCGCTTTTGTTTATTGTCTCTCGTTTATAACATGTAATTTAATTCAGTTGTATTCTTATGCTTTTTTGCTTGTGTGTTTATATCGATTGCCGAGTAAATGAAATAAACATACGGTCTAAAAAGATCACATGGTAGACGGATCGCTGTGGATACATAAATGTTGTTTTTTAAACTATTTTCATTTTTGTTTTTGTTTATTGTCTCTTGTAATATGTAATTTAATTCATATTATAGGCCTTTATGAAGCTTGCGGTACACCACGTAGGTAGAACTGTTGTAAGTTGAGAAATCTCTTCTGAAAAGAACTGTTGTAGTTGAGAAATCTCTTCTGAAAAGAGCTGTTGTATTTGAGAAAGTCTACGTGGTGTACCGCAAGCTTCAACATACAGGCCTATGTAATTACTTCCCCATGCAACCTTCAAACAATAAATTAATTCAGTTGTATTCTATGCTTTTTTGCTTATGTGTTTATGTCGATTGCCGAATAAATGAAAAAAACATGATCTAAAAAGATCACATGGTAACGGATCGCTGTGGATACATGAACAGCTAAATAGGCCTGGTCGATTATTGCTGCAGGTGTTAGGCCTACTTGATGTTCATGCGTAGAATTGCGCTAGGCCTAGCTAGCTTCTGTTTTTCTTAGAAAATAAATCTGTTTTTATCACATAACAAGGCGTTGCACTTCACTGCGGCTGTTTCTTAAGGTCCAGTCCAAATTTTCAGTTACTCAACCTGGACCAATCATGAATGTGCCATAATTGGTCCTTAGGTGCATACGTTCGCCATTGTTCCAAATTTTTATTAGTTACTTAACCACTTTACTTTTTAGTTCCTACCTGTAAACCACGAAGGAATAATGGAGGCAATAGTGGCGCCAGTTGTGGGAAATTCCTCCCGTCGGACAGGCCTGGAACCCCCGTCGTCCTGTTGTGGTCTAAAAGCACAATGGGCCTACTAAGCCATAAAAACTCCCCCATTAACCCTACCAGCAATTTTTTTTATTCCGGGACCCTGACCAAGGCTCTAAATCAGACCCATAGTTTAGACCCACCCCCGTTCAAAATGTCGGAATCCCAGACATCCCATGAGGGCGATACAGTAAACGAGTCCGATAATAGCCTGGTTCTCACGAGAGCCCTAGCATCCGGATCGGGAGCTAACCGTTAGAACCTGCGTGTGAGAACGCCTAATCGGTTAGCGCTAACCGTTATTAGTATCCGGATAACGCCGCTATTGATTAGCAAATTGAGCGCGTTTTTATCATCAACCAATCACACGTACGCGTTTACAATTTCCAGTTTCTTATTGGCCAGTGATTCGATCATCATATTTTTAGTATCCGGATACATATCAGTGATGGCGCCAATTTTTTCTTTCAGTGGGGTCTGAATGCCTCTGTCGGAGGGAGGGGGATTGTTGGGATGGCGGTCTTGTTGGGGGTAAACAAATCATCACTACACTTTTTGTTTCGGGCGGGCTACACTCAGTGCGTGGGATAAGGGGTTGTCACCAAAGTGCAAACACTCATTAAAATAGTATTTAATTAATCACAATGTATGCTAATAAAAATTTGTTAATGATAATGTTAATTTTAAATAGTAATTTTCTACCTGTGCAAATTATTTAAGTAATTATACCTTTAGAAAATAATTCAATTTACAACTTTTATCTTCCTTTATAATGAACGCGTGATTAATGTTACATATATCTTCATAATTGTATGTTTGGTGCTTTTTGTGCTTTTTTTTTTCCCGAATGAATAATTCCATGAATGAATGAATGGAAGCAAGAACATTATTCTTAACACATTCTATCAATGTTCTACTTCAATAGAACTACATTTTTCCCAACCTGGCTGGAATCAATAATCTTTTTATGATCATAATAAAATATTTTGACGGTAATGCGTTGTATTTTCACATTTACAGTGAAAAGCGGCGTTTATCTGATATAAGTAATATACATTCTACACAAAAAAAAATAAAAATAAAATAAATGCCTCCTCCGAATAAACGCCCCACAAACACGCTTCTCCCAGGGCGTTTTATTCAAATAAATACAATATTTCCACGACTGTTGACTTGTCATTGAACCTGGGCTGTAGCCTTACTGATTCCGACGGCCTTAATTTTGTCGGTTTTCCATTCAAATATAAAAAGAAAAAAAAAAACCCACTAACTTTACATGTTTAAAGTTAGGTCTTGACTGCTTGTGTCGTGAGGTAAGGCACTTGTACGTTTCATCAAAGATAATAAATAGCAGAAGATAGAGCAGCTTCCCAATATAGAGAAACATCCGTTCGAAAGGTATTGTGGGTACACTGAGAGCAATTGTACCCCATCTGCGCTATATAGTAATAATAAAGGCGCTGCTCTGGTTCTTTTGTTTCCTGTAGTTTCTTCACTTTAGTAAAATATTCAAATTGTACCCCATTCGCAGGAAGGCGAATGTTCCATCAATCTTAATGCAAATACGCGGAACAGCTCATTCTTCTGCTATTTAAGTTCTTTGGTTTCGTCTCTCTCCAATTCAAGAGTATATATGGAGTATTAGAAACCTATTTTGTTGGAAGTAGTCTTTGACTGGAGATTTTTGGAAAATTAGTTGGAAAAGTGTACTTGTGTTGTATTTTTTTTTTTTGCTGGGGGAAAGCTAGTGGGTGAGAAACTGATGGATGAGGGAGACTTCCCCTCATCAACTGTTCATATCAGACATATGATATGTTTTTAAGAATATAATTTAACTTGAACAAACTGAAGTCACGCAATACAAGATTTTATTCATGACTTGTTAATCGTGATGCGTGATGGATGGTTTCATAAACAATTCTTCAGAAATAGTAATTGTAAATGATGGAGGGTCTTATTGGCAGCAATTTCTAATTCCTTTCACACCATAGATTAAACAAGAATCGTGTTTATATGAATATTTTATTGACATATTCGCTGGTATTGTGTGGTATTATTTTGTACTGGTACAAATTAAAGAAATGTTTATTTCAATGCTAAAAAAAATGTAATTATAAGTATAAAACTAATCTAAAATCTTTCCGTTTTCGTATTAAGGATATTTTGAGCAAAATTAAAGCTAAAACACATAGGCCTAACGTTGTTTATAAAAAAAGAAATTAAAGGAAAATAAAAGAAAGAAAAATAATACATTTTATATATGGAATTATCATTATATATATGTATATATATATATATATATATCTGTCTCTTATACACA